GAGAGAGAGAGAGAGAGAGAAGAGAGAGAAGAGAGAGAGACGAGAGAGAGAGAGAGGAGAGAGAGAGAGAGAGAGAGAGAGAGAGAGAGAGAGAGGACAAGATGGTCTCTAAGAGGGATTTCCTGCATTAAGGCTCTCTCTCTCTCTCTCTGTAACTTAACACTAATTGAATTCAGCTACATTGGTTGGAAATAATAATAATTCTTTACAAAAGCCATAGTGAGGTTAAACATTTTATGTGTTCAGTGATCCACATCATGAAGAAAACATTTAGAAGGCATTCTTATAACTGCAGCCCTCCCTACCAATGTACAATATGATCTTAGCCCCCTTCTCAAAGTAAATAAATGTATCTGGAAATGTTCCAATTACATTTTCGGTGAATTCAGTGTAGACATAGTAGAGGAGTTTATTATTTTAAAAAAATATGACTTTATTAAATCTGTGGTGATAGATTCAGTAAATGTTTCCATGTTATTTGTCAGCTTAGATACCTCTTAAATGTAACTAAATGTAATAAAAAAATGTAATCTACGTAATCCCCCAAATTCAAAATCTTCAGTTTCTGGTAGAAATAGTTATAAATAGCTGAGGTGTAGTCACTTTTGAGGACACAAGCTCAAGAACACAGTAGAAATATGATAAAAATATGAAAATATGAAATATTTTATGATGTATTTCCTATTCAAAAAAACTGTATGAATAAGGCTTGAAATGACTTGAAAGGACTACAAAATTTCACCTTCCTTATAAGTGTAAAATATGTATTTGTATATTTAGTGTTAGAGAAAACGTGCATATTTTCTAAAGGTCTCTCTTAATCAAAACGTCTTCCCCCACTGCTGTGAACGTTTCACATAGCTCTAGCTTGGCTTCCCGAAGTCGTTAGGAACTCACCTTTCATCTTATATTAATCCTGTCCATCTATGACCAGCAGAAAGTACTTTTTGTTTTAAATCAAATTAATTATTTTACATTACTGGCTATAAATCGATCTCTGAATGTGCTACAGCGAGAAACCACTCTCTCCTGCTGCGTTATGATGTAAGGATTGTTAGTGGCTGTGACGTAGGGTTCAGCCAGGAGTTGATGGACAGTCGGAAGAGCGAATGAAATGGTAGGAGGGACAACCCAGCTTCAAGTGGTGTCAGATTTCACATCCTGCTTCACCAGGCAGAAGAGACATGCTCCTGTGTCCCTGAGAATCAGGGCTACCGTTTCAATCTACGGTGTCCACATATCAATTTACAGTATAAGCAAAAATATGTAAGACAGAACTGGTACCAGAACCACGCAGGTCCCCAAAACAGGGGACTTTACATCTAAGAGGTTTTAAAGTACACACGCAGGCTGTAGCTAGTCAACTACCTTTTAACTACTGTAGACAATGGATTTCACAGAGTCCTGCATCTGAGTTGACATACCAAATGTATTTCTAATGTGTGTTTTTTTTTTACAGAATTGGCAGAATGATTAAGGCCATTTGGCTTGTAGTTCTATAGATCATCAGAATCCTAGTTAGTTCTCTGACACTCGGCTTGTACACTGAGGGAGATACCTCTACTCTGCTCTGGTCTACTCTACTCTACTCTACTCTACTCTACTCTGCTCTGCTCTACTCTACTCTACTCTGCTCTGGTCTAGTTGCACAATATTAATTGTCAACATGTATGATTGTTAGGGGAAATATAGAGCGTTTTGTTTCGTGTCCCAAGTGTAATATAACTGTGAGTTGTGTCTTACATTTTTAGTCATTTAGCAGACGTTCTTATCCAGAGCGATTTACAGGAGCAATTAGGGTTAAGTGCCTTGCTCAAGGGCACAACGGCAGATTTTTCACCTACTCGGCTCGGGGATTAGAACCAGCGACCTTTCGGTTACTGGCACAACGCTCTTAACCACTAAGCTACCTGTTTAGATACAATTCTTGATATCAGTTATGTCTTCTGTGTTGGTCTCATCAGTTGAGAGTTAACATAGCCCAATCTCTCTTTCTACTTGCTTAGTGTGGAGCTATTTTTTCCAATCCCACAACATGTGTGTGTGTGTGTGTGCGTGTGCATGTGCGTGTGCGTGTGGGTGTGTGTGTGTGTGTGTGTGTGTGTGTGTGGGTGTGGGTGTGGGTGGGTGTGTGGGTGTGGTTGGGGGTGTGGGTGTGGGTGTGTGTGTGTGTGTGGTGTGTGGGTGTGTGTGTGTGTGTGTGTGTGTGTGTGTGGGTGTGGGTGTGGGTGTGGGTGTGGGTGTGGGTGTGTGTGTGTGTGTGTGTGTGTGTGTGTGTGTGTGTGTGTGTGTGTGTGTGTGTGTGTGTGTGTTTCCATGATAGGAAAGTAGTACCATGCTCTACCGTGACTTAGAAGATTTCAGACACTTTATTATTGAAACGTACCAGTGAGACTCCAGTGGATGAAAGGGATCATACGGATGACCAGGATGTACATATTATTTAACTGTATTTACAGAGTGGAAGTCAGTGTCTTCACATTATACACAAATTATTCTACAAATAAATCAACAGTTTGTAAATAACATAACATTAAATAAATTCAATCACCTTCCTATGGGTTTTACAGCTAAAATATGCATAATAATGATGCCCATCTCTGCTCTGCATAGAATTGATACATATACTTTCATAACGGACAGGTTGTGTTTTTCCTATAATACTGCTCTCACAATGCAGACGTCTGCAAGCTGTAAATAGAAAACAAGAACAAGATCTAAGTCTTTGGCAAATGTGGTAAAAATACATTCACTTGACAGTTGAATGATGTAAAGGTATGTTTGATCATGTTTTCCATTCTTCCAGCCAGGTCGGTGTTACTGGTGTAATTTCAGACAAACTAACTGGATAAGTTACACGATGTCTTTACGACAAAACAAAACAAACAAATATAGGAAGTTGAAACCTTGAGAAAAAAAACGCATGTGATTAAGGCATTAACTGAAATCTTTGCCCTGCGTTTAGTTGAAACCTTTGTTGACACATCGTCATGTGATGATGGCCATATCAGAATTACATTGACTATACTCACTATACTATCGCGGCGTCTCAAATGGCACCCTATTCCCTACATAGTGCACTACTTCTGATCAAAAGTAGTGCACTATAAAGGGAACAGGGTGCCATTCGGGACGTAAGATATCACCATCGTACTCGAACTATTAATTGATTTAATTAGTTAATCACAGAAAACAGTTAATTGATTAAACGTAATACTATATCTTAATGCCAAAGACTTAGGTCAAAACTTAAAACGTTAGCTAGCTAACTTCATGGGTTGAGTATGTGTGGATAGTTAGCCTACATAATAAGGCAGAGACAAACTGGGTCAACTGTTACTGAACCGTCTCCGGACATAATGCTACTGGGGAGTCAATGAAATGGTAAACATAAAGCAACAACATCTGACGTGCCTTTCCAGACCAAAAGGTTATGATTAAGTTATGGTTACGTTTATTATTCATCGAATGGTTCTTCAAAAAAAATAATATACTGTAAAACAAGACAAATAGGCATCCAGGTCAAAGTCTGCATAATAACGCTCCCAGTGTGTCAAACCTCAAAAATAGTGCAAAATTAAAAACAAATACAAAATAGATTCTGCCTGATTATTTCTAGTATCCTGACAAATAAAAATGACAACAACAAAAAGTCAAGCATATTATCTGCATTTCATTAAGATGTCAATAACAATTATAAAAACAAAATAAAAAAATCTTCAAGAATATATTTACTAGTTTTTTTTAAAATCTTGTAAATTAGAAGACACGGTATGTCACTATCCTTTTCATTTTCAATTCACTGTTTCTTTTTTTCTTTTCTTTTGTACATCTGATTGTGTATCACAGAGAACACCGCCCAGTAATCTTCTCCTGGCATCATCATCAAAAAGCAATTGATTCATTTAATCATGCTGAACGTTTGGTTGGTTACAAATGACTGTATGTTTGTTTGTAATAGAGGAATAGAACCAAGCTGCGGCAGCCTTGTTGCATTGACGCCAACGTCTTTAGCATGGATCTCATTGCACTGCCCTTTGAGTAGAAGGTTGAGACCGATGCAGAAGAAAGAAACAACAGCCTGCTACTGTACTGTACTGCACTGTATTGTACTGCACTGTATTGTACTGCACTGTACTGCACTGTATTGTACTGCACTGTACTGCACTGTATTGTACTGCACTGTACTGCACTGTACTGCACTGTACTGCACTGTATTGTACTGCACTGTACTGTACTGTACTGTACTGCACTGTACTGCACTGTACTGCACTATACTGCACTGTACTGCACTATACTGCACTATACTGTACTGCACTGTACTGTACTGCATTGTACTGTACTGTACTGAACTGTACTGCAATATACTGCACTATACTGTACTGTACTGTACTGCATTGTACTGTACTGTACTGTACTATACTGCACTGTACTGTACTGCACTGTATTGTACTGTACTGCACTGTACTGTACTGTACTGCACTGTACTGTACTGCACCGTACTCTCAGCTCAGGACGGCTCCTCCATCAGCCGACAGATCAGTCAGGTAAAGGAATGTTTTGATCCACGAAGGAAGAAAATGAAACGGAGGACCATTACAAAAAAGGAAAAGATACAAATTCCTCTTTGTCATTTTCTAAACTTTTAGTTGTCTTTTTCACCTCAGTAGCTTCAGTAGTATCACGTATATATAGTCTTTCAAAGTCTTTAGTGGTAATGTACAGTCACACAGATCACATCGAAGAATTTGACATTTTTCACTTTGAAGGTATCCAAATTGGTGGTTGATGGGAAGTTGTCTGCATGGTATCCCGAATGATTAGTTCTTCTTCTGTTGTGTGTGGTAGTGTGGTATTCAGGAGGACAGTTCTTCTTCTGTTGTGTGTAGTAGTGTGATATACAGGAGGACAGTTCTTCTTCTGTTGTGTGTAGTAGTGTGATATACAGGAAATGGAGCTGCCTGTTAGCTGTCTTAACAGTATCCCATCATGCCCTCTGTTCACACCGGGGCAACATGGACGCTGCCGAAGCCATGGTTGTAGTCGTGGTGTAGGTGGTGGTGGTGGTGGTTGATTTGGTTTCCATGGTAACTAGTGGCGGTCATATGCCGTGGCAGCAGTAGGTGGTCCGGAACCTCTGGATGCGGCACTATAATAATAAGGGGAACCTGGAAGGTTAACAGAAGAAATGGACCGTTGGAAACAACATCCACCAGAACCCACAACACACTGTGATTATGTGTCCTGTTGTCCTCTCAGTAACTGACATTCTAAACTGACATTCTAACGGTTGTATCCGTTAGCTGTTGTAAATTAATTATACCGGCCAAGGCTATAACAATATTTAAAAAAAAAATGTTTAAGGGATATGTAAAAAAAAATATCTAATAATACTGTAGTTGTTGTAAAATGCTCTAAGACTCCAGTCAGTCATACTCACTTAGTAGCGCTGGGTTGCTGAATCGCCATGCCTCGTTGTAGGTTGTGTACTGTGGATGACTGTAAGGGTTTCCTGTAAACTCACTCCCTGTAAAACAAACAAAACAATTAGCATTTTTAAAGTCCCATTCCATTACCTTGTGAAACTCTTTCACTTGCTTGCCATTTCCCATCATATATATATCGTATGGGGTAATTTGATAGTCATTTATTTGAGACTAGTCAACCAAATCATTTATTTATTATTTTTTCTCTCCATTTCATTTTAATGATGCAAGACTGAACGGTAGAAAATCTGACAGTTGTGGTCTTCCGCGTCACACCCACTGTCATAGTATCTACTGTCCTGTACCTCTTAACACCTGCTGTCATAGTATCTACTGTCCTGTACCTCTTAACACCTGCTGTCATAGTATCTACTGTCCTGTACCTCTTAACACCTGCTGTCGTAGTATCTACTGTCCTGTACCTCTTAACACCTGCTGTCATAGTATCTACTGTCCTGTACCTCTTAACACCTGCTGTCGTAGTATCTACTGTCCTGTAACCTCTTAACACCTGCTGTCATAGTATCTACTGTCCTGTACCTCTTAACACCTGCTGTCATAGTATCTACTGTCCTGTACCTCTTAACACCTGCTGTCGTAGTATCTACTGTCCTGTACCTCAACACCTGCTGTCATAGTATCTACTGTCCTGTAACCTCTTAACACCTGCTGTCATAGTATCTACTGTCCTGTACCTCTTAACACCTGCTGTCGTAGTATCTACTGTCCTGTACCTCAACACCTGCTGTCATAGTATCTACTGTCCTGTACCCTTAACACCTGCTGTCATAGTATCTATGTCCTGTACCTCTTAACACCTGCTGTATAGTATCTACTGTCCTGTAACCTCTTAACACCTGCTGTCATAGTATCTACTGTCCTGTACCTCTTAACACCTGCTGTCATAGTATCTACTGTCCTGTACCTCTTAACACCTGCTGTCGTAGTATCTACTGTCCTGTACCTCTTAACACCTGCTGTCATAGTATCTACTGTCCTGTACACCTTCTATTTTCCACATCATTGAAATAAACACTGTGGTTTTAAGACATTTGCTAGCATCCTTTCTAATGGTTGAAATGGCATTATAAACTCTTGTTATAGGCTTCCTCAGAGGAAAGGAAATCCTGTCCCGCTGTTTTGTTGCCACAGAATTTTCCTTGCAGGCAGGAAGTAACTTAGACCATGCCAGTGAGGCAATGCTGTTGGTCCTACACGTTTCTTTCTTTTATGAGGCAATAAAGGCTGAGATTTGAACAGTGTTTGGTGGCCTGTCACTAAATCTTAGTGTCTGTGGGTCAGATCAATGGAGATCCACCAGCACCACGTTACTGCTGGTGTCTGGTGACTGATGAGAACGACTGGGTGGTAAAAACTGATTTGATAAGACGCTGTGAAAAACACGCCGTATTCTCCAACTCCAACCAAATGAACTAACTGTCATATAGATAATAGATAGCCCTTTACCTTACAGTGACTTTATACGGTGGAACTGCTCATGTAATTACAGTGTAACAAGTAACAATGAGTTACAATGTACATACTTTATCACAAATAAACACAAATACAATATTTGCACACCTGGATTGTATAATATTTACCTATTATTATTTTTAAAATAATTAATAACTGCACCATGCTCAAAAGTATATTCAATGTCTGCTTTTTTTTTTTTTTTACCCATCTACCAATAGGTGGCCTTCTTTGCGAACCCATTGGAAAAACTTCCCTGGTCTTTGTGGTTGAGGGACCAGAGGGTATAGAGATGGTGTAGTCATTTGAAGATCATGTTAAACACTATTATTGGACACAGAGTGAGTCCGTGCAAATTATAATTTGACTCCTGAATTATTTAGGCTTGTCATAACGAAGGGGTTGAATACTTATTGACTCAAGACATTTCAGCTTTTCACTTTTAATTCATTTGTAAACATTTCTAAAAACATAATTCCACTTTGACATGATGGGGGCACTGTGTGTATCAGTGACACTAAATCTCAATGGAATCCATTTTAAATTCAGGCTGTAACACAACAGCGTGTGGAAGAAGTCAAGGAGTGTGAAGTCCTTTCTGAAGGAACTGTACGTGTTGTTGATACTCTATGCTGAAACTCATATGAAAAGAAAACGGTGTGCATTGCATTGCATCCAGTGGACAAAACAGTGATTGTACGGATGGACGGGGGGAGAGCGGGTCTGAATCCTGAAGCCCTTTGAGCATGCTGTAATCGGTTAATGATTTTCTAACACAGCTGTGCACTCGATTGGATTTTCCTTTCCGCATGGGTTGATCAGCTCAAAGAAAAATGGCGGTGCATGCTGCTGCGGTGGGGTGTATACGAGCACAGAGACGGGGAATACCAGGAAACAACCAGTGAATCAGCGCAGTAGTCAGAATGCATCCCGTCCCATCCCGTCCCGCCCCAGTGTCTGGTTGGTGTGTTCTGGCAGTGTAATACTAGCCCTGGCCCAGCCGGCCCCTCCTTAGAGAGATAGCGATTTAAATATTGACTGGCCTCCCATGCCTCTGTGTTGTGACCCTTCACTGTTTGTTGTGAACCTGAACCGCAGGTTAAGTAGAGGGGTGGAAAGGGAGGCGCTCTGACCACAGAGGAGGACGAGGAGGCCGAGGGGAGGACTGGGAGAGAGACGGAGGAGAGGAGATCGCTAGCTGTTTATCGACGGCTCCTGAGAATGCCTCATGCACGGCACACACCACAGAGGGATAATGAGCTAAGATACTGGAGTGGAACTGAGAGGATCTGTCCTTTAACCATGTCTCTGTATGTCTCTGTCCTTTAACCATCTCTGTCTGTCTCTGTCTTTTAACCATGTCTCTGTCTGTCTCTGTCCTTTAACCATGTCCCTGTCTATCTGTCTGTCTCTGTCTTTTAACCATGTCTCTGTCTGTCTCTGTCTTACCATCTGTCTGTCTTTTAACCATGTCTCTGTCTGTCTCTGTCCTTTAACCATGTCCTGTCTTTCTTTTACCTGTCTCTGTCTGTCTTGTTTAACCATGTCTCTGTCTGTCTCTGTCTTTTAACCATGTCTCTGTCTGTCTCTGTCCTTTAACCATGTCTCTGTCTGTCTCTGTCCTTTAACCATGTCCCTGTCTATCTGTCTGTCTCTGTCTTTTAACCATGTCTCTGTCTGTCTCTGTCCTTTAACCATGTCTCTGTCTGTCTCTGTCCTTTAACCATGTCCCTGTCTGTCTCTCAGTTATCCAGCAGGACTAGTCTCCTGATAGCCTACATGTAACGGTGTGTGCTGTCTGTCCACGCTACAGGTCATTGCTTTATATGAGGGACAGTTTGTACAATCTTGAAATGAAAATAAAATGTTAAACTTTAAAATGTAATATCTACCAAAAGGTACACTCACCAGGAACCATTCCAGCCAGTGTTGAGGTGGGGTAGCTGCCCTGGCCTGTGGGGGGTACGTGAGGGGGATAGCCCGGTAGGGTTGTGTTGGCCATGTCTCGACCTGGAGAGAGAGAGAGAGAACACACACACAATCAATAGATGGTCCTCCAAGACAAAACACTAAACCACCCCCTCTTAGAGGTTAGAAACGGGATCATGTTTTGTGTTCCAAATTGCACCATATTCCCTTAACATTGCACTACTTTTGACCAGGGCTCATAGGGCTCATAGTGCACTACATAGGGAAAAGGCTGCCATTTGGGACGCACCTGTCTAATCATACGGTCTCCCTTGAACAGAAAATACTCATTGTAATACACTGTAAAACCATGAAACGTGACACCTTTATAACCTAAACGTCTGTGTATAAAACTTTAAACATTAGGTATTTAGATTTGCCATTAAGTGTTCACATGTTAAGCACAGGTGTTTAGAATTGCAAGATTTCACATGATAGTCAGCCATTCCCAATCAGTTTCCAACCAGGAGAAACACCTATATCTCCTAAGTGTTCAGATGTTAACTTCTCCATCGTCCTGGTTCAGAGTGCATTTAGTCATTAGATATTGATGTGACTTTCCATGCCTTTAATTCAGATCAGTGTTAGGAATGTCTGTCACCTTGCCTACGTTTCAGCACAACTGAACAGGACATTTGAGTCAATACAATTTTTTTCAATCGCGTGGTGTCGTGGTTACTCAACTGTGTTGAGTTAATTTTCGCTAACTCCCTCAGAGTGAAAAAGACGTGGGGGGGGGGGGCTCATTATCATATTTCCCAGCATGCTTTGTTGATTTTTTTTTGAATAGTTTGCTTTAATATCTGTTTCCTCGTGCACATTCATTGATTCATTGATCTTATACTATACAAATATAAATAACTTTAAATTGTTCTAAACTAATCCAATCTGCAAGCCGTTGGATTTATTGCACCCGTTACTGAGATAGTTGTTCCAGTTTAGAGGGTTTAGATCAGGGGTCATCAATTACATTCAGCTGCCGGATGATTTTTTTCTTGAGGGGATGTAGACTGCAAATCGACTGCAAGAAGCCCAAACAGACAGTGCATAGTGTTGTGTTGTTCTCTACAGTGTATAGTGTTATGTTGTTCTCTACAGTGTATAGTGTTGTGTTGTTCTCTACAGTGTATAGTGTTGTGTTGTTCTCTACAGTGTATAGTGTTGTGTTGTTCTCTACAGTGTATAGTGTTGTGTTGCTCTCTACAGTGTATAGTGTTGTGTTGTTCTCTACAGTGTATAGTGTTGTGTTGTTCTCTACAGTGTATAGTTGTTCTCTACATATAATATTATATAATATTTGACTAAAACATAATAATTTCAAACCTTTCCTACATTTGTGTACGATCACATACAGTATATGTCTATTACGAGTAGGAATACTTTGGAACAGATTTAAAAAATAAAACAACCACTAAAATCATCAGCGGGCCACCAGTTGGGGAACCCTGGTTTAGGTCATCTTGTTTGTTAAGACTTTCACCATAGCAGCCATTCTGAGTGCAGGTTGTGGATGATAAAATATTCAAATTCTTGGATATCCTCCCTCTGGCTGGATTCCGACAGGAATTACTAATCACTTCATAAACCAGCATATTGTAATTTGCAGGTCTGATGTGGCCCATGAGCCAGGATTTTCAGACCACTATGTCCAGGATAACTGGGCCATAACTAAAGGCCTTATAACATGTATAATATGTGGTCATAAAGGGTTTATTTTTAATTGAAACACATTCACTTAGTCAGTCATCTGGTGAAAGCTTCAGTGGTAGAAGTTATTGAACGTAACAATCATGTCTCTGTCACTAACAAACACAGTGATTGGTGGGTATCTCTCACATTTACTTGAAAGCCATGCTGGGAAATATGCAAATCTGGCTTTCCACCCTACAGTGTTAAAACAACAGCCCCAGTGTTTAGAGTATAAAACCGAATGACTTGTACCGAATAAACGTGTTCATGTGTTTAAAAAGTGTTGCAGCAAATAAACATGCTCTGGTGTTTCCAATCTAAACACTGTGACGCATTCTCATTGAAATTCCAAATGCCTTGAGGTGTTTAAAAAGTGTTCCAGATAAGTGTTTGGCTATGTGTTCAGATCCTAAACACTTGATTTTACAGTGTAGGTATCATGGCCTCCATACTATGGCCTACACCCTAGTGACCAGAGAATAAATCTACTGTATTCTACACCCTAGTGACCAGAGAATAAATATACTGTATTCTACACCCTAGTGACCAGAGAATAAATATACTGTATTCTACACCCTAGTGACCAGAGAATAAATATACTGTAGTCTATAGTCACCAGAGAATAAATATACTGTAGTCTATAGTCACCAGATAATAAATATACTGTAGTCTATAGTCACCAGAGAATAAATATACTGTAGTCTATAGTCACCAGAGAATAAATATACTGTAGTCTATAGTCACCAGAGAATAAATATACTGTAGTCTATAGTCACCAGAGAATAAATATACTGTAGTCTATAGTCACCAGATAATAAATATACTGTAGTCTATAGTCACCAGAGAATAAATATACTGTAGTCTATAGTCACCAGATAATAAATATACTGTAGGCTATAGTCACCAGATAATAAATATACTGTAGTCTATAGTCACCAGATAATAAATATACTGTAGTCTATGGTCACCAGATAATAAATATACTGTAGTCTATAGTCACCAGATAATAAATATACTGTAGTCTATAGTCACCAGAGAATAAATATACTGTAGTCTATAGTCACCAGATAATAAATATACTGTAGTCTATAGTCACCAGATAATAAATATACTGTAGTCTATAATCACCAGATAATAAATATACTGTAGTCTATAGTCACCAGAGAATAAATATACTGTAGTCTATAGTCACCAGAGAATAAATATACTGTAGTCTATAGTCACCAGATAATAAATATACTGTAGTCTATAGTCACCAGAGAATAAATATACTGTAGTCTATAGTCACCAGATAATAAATATACTGTAGTCTATAGTCACCAGATAATAAATATACTGTAGGCTATAGTCACCAGAGAATAAATATACTGTAGTCTATAGTCACCAGATAATAAATATACTGTAGTCTATAGTCACCAGATAATAAATATACTGTAGTCTATAGTCACCAGATAATAAATATACTGTAGTCTATAGTCACCAGAGAATAAATATACTGTAGTCTATAGTCACCAGATAATAAATATACTGTAGTCTATAGTCACCAGATAATAAATATACTGTAGTCTATAATCACCAGATAATAAATATACTGTAGTCTATAGTCACCAGAGAATAAATATACTGTAGTCTATAGTCACCAGAGAATAAATATACTGTAGTCTATAGTCACCAGAGAATAAATATACTGTATTCTATAGTCACCAGAGAATAAATATACTGTAGTCTATAGTCACCAGATAATAAATATACTGTAGTCTATAGTCACCAGAGAATAAATATACTGTAGTCTATAGTCACCAGAGAATAAATATACTGTAGTCTATAGTCACCAGAGAATAAATATACTGTAGTCTATAGTCACCAGAGAATAAATATACTGTAGTCTATAGTCACCAGAGAATAAATATACTGTAGTCTATAGTCACCAGAGAATAAATATACTGTAGTCTATAGTCACCAGATAATAAATATACTGTAGTCTATAGTCACCAGATAATAAATATACTGTAGTCTATAGTCACCAGAGAATAAATATACTGTAGTCTATAGTCACCAGAGAATAAATATACTGTAGTCTATAGTCACCAGAGAATAAATATACTGTAGTCTATAGTCACCAGAGAATAAATATACTATAGTCTATAGTCACCAGAGAATAAATATACTGTAGTCTATAGTCACCAGATAATAAATATACTGTAGTCTATAGTCACCAGAGAATAAATATACTGTAGTCTATAGTCACCAGATAATACATATACTGTAGTCTATAGTCACCAGATAATAAATATACTGTAGTCTATAGTCACCAGATAATAAATATACTGTAGTCTATAGTCACCAGATAATAAATATACTGTAGTCTATAGTCACCAGAGAATAAATATACTGTAGTCTATAGTCACCAGAGAATAAATATACTGTAGTCTATAGTCACCAGAGAATAAATATACTGTAGTCTATAGTGACCAGAGAATAAATATACTATAGTCTATAGTCACCAGAGAATAAATATACTGTAGTCTATAGTCACCAGATAATAAATATACTGTAGTCTATAGTCACCAGAGAATAAATATACTGTAGTCTATAGTCACCAGAGAATAAATATACTGTAGTCTATAGTGACCAGAGAATAAATATACTGTAGTCTATAGTCACCAGATAATAAATATACTGTAGTCTATAGTCACCAGAGAATAAATATACTGTAGTCTATAGTCACCAGAGAATAAATATACTGTAGTCTATAGTCACCAGATAATAAATATACTGTAGTCTATAGTCACCAGATAATAAATATACTGTAGGCTATAGTCACCAGAGAATAAATATACTGTAGTCTATAGTCACCAGATAATAAATATACTGTAGTCTATAGTCACCAGATAATAAATATACTGTAGTCTATAGTCACCAGATAATAAATATACTGTAGTCTATAGTCACCAGATAATAAAAATACCGTAGTCTATAGTCACCAGAGAATAAAAATACTGTAGTATATAGTCACCAGAGAATAAATATACTGTAGTCTATAGTCACCAGAGAATAAATATACTGTAGTCTATAGTCACCAGAGAATAAATATACTGTAGTCTATAGTCACCAGAGAATAAATATACTGTAGTCTATAGTGACCAGAGAATAAATATACTGTAGTCTATAGTCACCAGATAATAAATATACTGTAGTCTATAGTCACCAGAGAATAAATATACTGTAGTCTATAGTCACCAGAGAATAAATATACTGTAGTCTATAGTCACCAGATAATAAATATACTGTAGTCTATAGTCACCAGATAATAAATATACTGTAGGCTATAGTCACCAGATAATAAATATACTGTAGTCTATAGTCACCAGAGAATAAATATACTGTAGTCTATAGTCACCAGAGAATAAATATACTGTAGTCTATAGTCACCAGAGAATAAATATACTGTAGTCTATAGTCACCAGAGAATAAATATACTGTAGTCTATAGTCACCAGAGAATAAATATACTGTAGTCTATAGTCACCAGATAATAAATATACTGTAGTCTATAGTCACCAGATAATAAATATACTGTAGTCTATAGTCACCAGAGAATAAATATACTGTAGTCTATAGTCACCAGAGAATAAATATACTGTAGTCTATAGTCACCAGAGAATAAATATACTGTAGTCTATAGTCACCAGAGAATAAATATACTATAGTCTATAGTCACCAGAGAATAAATATACTGTAGTCTATAGTCACCAGATAATAAATATACTGTAGTCTATAGTCACCAGAGAATAAATATACTGTAGTCTATAGTCACCAGATAATACATATACTGTAGTCTATAGTCACCAGATAATAAATATACTGTAGTCTATAGTCACCAGATAATAAATATACTGTAGTCTATAGTCACCAGATAATAAATATACTGTAGTCTATAGTCACCAGAGAATAAATATACTGTAGTCTATAGTCACCAGAGAATAAATATACTGTAGTCTATAGTCACCAGAGAATAATATACTGTAGTCTATAGTCACCAGATAATAAATATACTGTAGTCTATAGTCACCAGAGAATAAATATACTGTAGTCTATAGTCACCAGAGAATAAATATACTGTAGTCTATAGTCACCAGATAATAAATATACTGTAGTCTATAGTCACCAGAGAATAAATATACTGTAGTATATAGTCACCAGAGAATAAATATACTGTAGTCTATAGTCACCAGAGAATAAATATACTATAGTCTATAGTCACCAGAGAATAAATATACTGTAGTCTATAGTCACCAGATAATAAATATACTGTAGTCTATAGTCACCAGATAATAAATATACTGTAGTCTATAGTCACCAGAGAATAAATATACTGTAGTCTATAGTCACCAGAGAATAAATATACTGTAGTCTATAGTCACCAGAGAATAAATATACTGTAGTCTATAGTCACCAGAGAATAAATATACTGTAGTCTATAGTCACCAGATAATAAATATACTGTAGTCTGTAGTCACCAGAGAATAAATATACTGTAGTCTATAGTCACCAGAGAATAAATATACTGTAGTCTATAGTGACCAGAGAATAAATATACTGTAGTCTATAGTCACCAGAGAATAAATATACTGTAGTCTATAGTCACCAGATAATAAATATACTGTAGTCTATAGTCACCAGAGAATAAATATACTGTAGTCTATAGTCACCAGAGAATAAATATACTGTAGTCTATAGTGACCAGAGAATAAATATACTGTAGTCTATATTCACCAGATAATAATTATACTGTAGTCTATAGTCACCAGATAATAAATATACTGTAGTCTATAGTCACCAGAGAATAAATATACTGTAGTCTATAGTCACCAGAGAATAAATATACTGTAGTCTATAGTCACCAGATAATAAATATACTGTAGTCTATAGTCACCAGATAATAAATATACTGTAGTCTATAGTCACCAGAGAATAAATATACTGTAGTCTATAGTCACCAGATAATAAATATACTGTAGTCCATAGTCACCAGAGAATAAATATACTGTAGTCTATAGTCACCAGAGAATAAATATACTGTAGTCTATAGTCACCAGAGAATAAATATACTATAGTCTATAGTCACCAGAGAATAAATATACTGTAGTCTATAGTCACCAGATAATAAATATACTGTAGTCTATAGTCACCAGATAATAAATATACTGTAGTCTATAGTCACCAGAGAATAAATATACTGTAGTCTATAGTCACCAGAGAATAAATATACTGTAGTCTATAGTCACCAGAGAATAAATATACTGTAGTCTATAGTCACCAGAGAATAAATATACTGTAGTCTATAGTCACCAGATAATAAATATACTGTAGTCTATAGTCACCAGAGAATAAATATACTGTAGTCTATAGTCACCAGAGAATAAATATACTGTAGTCTATAGTGACCAGAGAATAAATATACTGTAGTCTATAGTCACCAGAGAATAAATATACTGTAGTCTATAGTCACCAGATAATAAATATACTGTAGTCTATAGTCACCAGAGAATAAATATACTGTAGTCTATAGTCACCAGAGAATAAATATACTGTAGTCTATAGTGACCAGAGAATAAATATACTGTATTCTATATTCACCAGATAATAATTATACTGTAGTCTATAGTCACCAGATAATAAATATACTGTAGTCTATAGTCACCAGATAATAAATATACTGTAGTCTATAGTCACCAGAGAATAAATATACTGTAGTCTATAGTCACCAGAGAATAAATATACTGTAGTCTATAGTCACCAGAGAATAAATATACTGTAGTCTATAGTCACCAGAGAATAAATATACTGTAGTCTATAGTCACCAGATAATAAATATACTGTAGTCTATAGTCACCAGAGAATAAATATACTGTAGTCTATAGTCACCAGAGAATAAATATACTGTAGTCTATAGTGACCAGAGAATAAATATACTGTAGTCTATAGTCACCAGAGAATAAATATACTGTAGTCTATAGTCACCAGATAATAAATATACTGTAGTCTATAGTCACCAGAGAATAAATATACTGTAGTCTATAGTCACCAGAGAATAAATATACTGTAGTCTATAGTGACCAGAGAATAAATATACTGTAGTCTATATTCACCAGATAATAATTATACTGTAGTCTATAGTCACCAGATAATAAATATACTGTAGTCTATAGTCACCAGAGAATAAATATACTGTAGTCTATAGTCACCAGAGAATAAATATACTGTAGTCTATAGTCACCAGATAATAAATATACTGTAGTCTATAGTCACCAGATAATAAATATACTGTAGTCTATAGTCACCAGAGAATAAATATACTGTAGTCTATAGTCACCAGATAATAAATATACTGTAGTCTATAGTCACCAGAGAATAAATATACTGTAGTCTATAGTCACCAGAGAATAAATATACTGTAGTCTATAGTCACCAGAGAATAAATATACTATAGTCTATAGTCACCAGAGAATAAATATACTGTAGTCTATAGTCACCAGATAATAAATATACTGTAGTCTATAGTCACCAGATAATAAATATACTGTAGTCTATAGTCACCAGAGAATAAATATACTGTAGTCTATAGTCACCAGAGAATAAATATACTGTAGTCTATAGTCACCAGAGAATAAATATACTGTAGTCTATAGTCACCAGAGAATAAATATACTGTAGTCTATAGTCACCAGAGAATAAATATACTGTAGTCTATAGTCACCAGAGAATAAATATACTGTAGTCTATAGTCACCAGAGAATAAATATACTGTAGTCTATAGTGACCAGAGAATAAATATACTGTAGTCTATAGTCACCAGAGAATAAATATACTGTAGTATATAGTCACCAGATAATAAATATACTGTAGTCTATAGTCACCAGAGAATAAATATACTGTAGTCTATAGTCACCAGAGAATAAATATACTGTAGTCTATAGTGACCAGAGAATAAATATACTGTAGTCTATATTCACCAGATAATAATTATACTGTAGTCTATAGTCACCAGATAATAAATATACTGTAGTCTATAGTCACCAGAGAATAAATATACTGTAGTCTATAGTCACCAGAGAATAAATATACTGTAGTCTATAGTCACCAGAGAATAAATATACTGTAGTCTATAGTCACCAGATAATAAATATACTGTAGTCTATAGTCACCAGAGAATAAATATACTGTAGTCTATAGTCACCAGATAATAAATATACTGTAGTCTATAGTCACCAGAGAATAAATATACTGTAGTCTATAGTAACCAGAGAATAAATATACTAAGTCTATAGTCACCAGAGAATAAATATACTGTAGTCTATAGTCACCAGAGAATAAATATACTGTAGTCTATAGTCACCAGATAATAAATATACTGTAGTCTATAGTCACCAGAGAATAAATATACTGTAGTATATAGTCACCAGGGAATAAATATACTGTAGTCTATAGTCACCAGAGAATAAATATACTGTAGTCTATAGTCACCAGAGAATAAATATACTGTAGTCTATAGTCACCAGAGAATAAATATACTGTAGTCTATAGTCACCAGACAATAAATATACTGTAGTCTATAGTCACCAGAGAATAAATATACTGTAGTCTATAGTCACCAGATGATAAATATACTGTAGTCTATAGTCACCAGAGAATAAATATACTGTAGGCTATAGTCACCAGATAATAAATATACTGTAGTCTATAGTCACCAGAGAATATATATACTGTAGTCTATAGTCACCAGATAATAAATATACTGTAGTCTATAGTCACCAGAGAATAAATATACTGTAGTCTATAGTCACCAGATAATAAATATACTGTAGTCTATAGTCACCAGAGAATAAATATACTGTAGTCTATTGTCACCAGAGAATAAATATACTGTAGTCTATAGTCACCAGAGAATAAATATACTGTAGTCTATAGTCACCAGATAATAAATATACTGTAGTCTATAGTCACCAGAGAATAAATATACTGTAGTCTATAGTCACCAGAGAATAAATATACTGTAGTCTATAGTCACCAGAGAATAAATATACTGTAGTCTATAGTCACCAGAGAATAAATATACTGTAGTCTATAGTCACCAGATAATAAATATACTGTAGTCTATAGTCACCAGAGAATAAATATACTGTAGTCTATAGTCACCAGAGAATAAATATACTGTAGTCTATAGTGACCAGAGAATAAATATACTGTAGTCTATAGTCACCAGAGAATAAATATACTGTAGTCTATAGTCACCAGATAATAAATATACTGTAGTCTATAGTCACCAGAGAATAAATATACTGTAGTCTATAGTCACCAGAGAATAAATATACTGTAGTCTATAGTGACCAGAGAATAAATATACTGTAGTCTATATTCACCAGATAATAATTATACTGTAGTCTATAGTCACCAGATAATAAATATACTGTAGTCTATAGTCACCAGATAATAAATATACTGTAGTCTATAGTCACCAGAGAATAAATATACTGTAGTCTATAGTCACCAGAGAATAAATATACTGTAGTCTATAGTCACCAGAGAATAAATATACTGTAGTCTGTAGTCACCAGAGAATAAATATACTGTAGTCTATAGTCACCAGATAATAAATATACTGTAGTCTATAGTCACCAGAGAATAAATATACTGTAGTCTATAGTCACCAGAGAATAAATATACTGTAGTCTATAGTGACCAGAGAATAAATATACTGTAGTCTATAGTCACCAGAGAATAAATATACTGTAGTCTATAGTCACCAGATAATAAATATACTGTAGTCTATAGTCACCAGAGAATAAATATACTGTAGTCTATAGTCACCAGAGAATAAATATACTGTAGTCTATAGTGACCAGAGAATAAATATACTGTAGTCTATATTCACCAGATAATAATTATACTGTAGTCTATAGTCACCAGATAATAAATATACTGTAGTCTATAGTCACCAGAGAATAAATATACTGTAGTCTATAGTCACCAGAGAATAAATATACTGTAGTCTATAGTCACCAGATAATAAATATACTGTAGTCTATAGTCACCAGATAATAAATATACTGTAGTCTATAGTCACCAGAGAATAAATATACTGTAGTCTATAGTCACCAGATAATAAATATACTGTAGTCTATAGTCACCAGAGAATAAATATACTGTAGTCTATAGTCACCAGAGAATAAATATACTGTAGTCTATAGTCACCAGAGAATAAATATACTATAGTCTATAGTCACCAGAGAATAAATATACTGTAGTCTATAGTCACCAGATAATAAATATACTGTAGTCTATAGTCACCAGATAATAAATATACTGTAGTCTATAGTCACCAGAGAATAAATATACTGTAGTCTATAGTCACCAGAGAATAAATATACTGTAGTCTATAGTCACCAGAGAATAAATATACTGTAGTCTATAGTCACCAGAGAATAAATATACTGTAGTCTATAGTCACCAGATAATAAATATACTGTAGTCCTATAGTCACCAGAGAATAAATATACTGTAGTCTATAGTGACCAGAGAATAAATATACTGTAGTCTATAGTGACCAGAGAATAAATATACTGTAGTCTATAGTCACCCAGATAATAAATATACTGTAGTCTATAGTCACCAGATAATAATATACGTAGTCTATAGTCACCAGAGAATAAATATACTGTAGTCTATAGTCACCAGAGAATAAATATACTGTAGTCTATAGTGACCAGAGAATAAATATACTGTAGTCTATATTCACCAGATAATAATTATACTGTAGTCTATAGTCACCAGATAATAAATATACTGTAGTCTATAGTCACCAGAGAATAAATATACTGTAGTCTATAGTCACCAGAGAATAAATATACTGTAGTCTATAGTCACCAGAGAATAAATATACTGTAGTCTATAGTCACCAGATAATAAATATACTGTAGTCTATAGTCACCAGATAATAAATATACTGTAGTCTATAGTCACCAGAGAATAAATATACTGTAGTCTATAGTCACCAGAGAATAAATATACTGTAGTCTATAGTCACCAGATAATACATATAATGTAGTCTATAGTCACCAGATAATAAATATACTGTTGTCTATAGTCACCAGAGAATAAATATACTGTAGTCTATAGTCACCAGTCACCAGAGAATAAATATACTGTAGGCTATAGTCATTTAATGAGAGATGTTGTGCTAAGAATAAAGTACTTTTAACATAGTTTTCATTCATCAGACTTTTGCAGACTCATAATGTGTCTCAGGAATCACAAATCAGTCAACAGAATCCTCATCCTACACTGTCAACACAACCAACTGTCACTCCTCCTCTGGCTTTGTCCCCTACGTTGGAAGCCAAAAGACAAAGTACTTAATGGGACAGAAACCACATCAAAGAATTAAGCAGAAGTAGGTAGAACAATGAAGAGGAAAACTCTGTTCATTGCTGCATTCAAACTAGTTTAAACATAGAGTACGCTTTACTGAACCCCAGAACCATGTCCTCCTTTCCTCCTGTCCTCCTGTCCTCCTGTCCTCCTGTCCTCCTTTCCTCCTGTCCTCATGTCCTCCTGTCCTCCTGTCCTCCTGTCCTCCTGTCCTCCTGTCCTCCTGTCCTCCTGTCCTCCTGTCCTCCTGTCCTCCTATCCTCCTATCCTCCTGTCCTCCTCTCCTCCTTCCCTCGAACGCACACACACACACGCACAGTCCTGAAAGAGCAGATCACCCCCGTCACCGCGACGGCAGTTCTAAAGCCAAAGCCCGTTTGTCTGTCCATACAGTATTGGCCCCTGTACAGAGCTACTAGCTAGCGTCACTCTGGACCCTACGTTAGTTATTCAGCCCTGCTCCGTATTCAGGCCTGTAATTGGACATGACAGCTGGGTTTCCTACCCTGTCCTACCCCTGCCGCCAGGCTGTTTGAGCTGCCGGCACGTAGCTCCCGAGCGCTCCGGCCCAGCTAAGGCCAGCCAAAGGGTCGGAGGGGGAAAGAGGAGAGAGAGAGAGGGGCCCCTGCAACATTGTTTAGCCGTGAGGGACACTGGGGCTAAATCAGCTCTCAAATGGAGCTTTAATGAGCGAGCCCAGTAGCCATAATATTCCATAATGCCCCATGATACCACAGGACATAGTTTTATGAAGGCATCTTTGACTGAGCATACGCTGGTTTTCAATTGCTGTTGTTTATTTCAGTTAATACCGGCACAGCAGCAGCTGGGGTGCAGAAATGGCCGCCATAATACAAGTGTTTCGGCCACGACTGCCTCTCTCCTCACCAAACATAATGATCAACTACATTAATTTAATGGAGGAAAAAAACGTGTATTAGCCTATAGTATACAGTAGATGATCAAATAACTGTAAACTACCGTAGACTAGTTTCTAGTCTTTAACATACACATGGTTATTGCTTTGTGAAAAAATTAGGAAAAGTTGTTTTTCAAGGGAAGGTTTTCTTTTAGTGAAAATGTCTCCAGCTGCCATGATGTCATGGCAGACCATTCATGTGTAATAAGAATTAGTCTGCAGACAGACCACTGTGTAATAAGAATTAGTCTGCAGACAGACCAGTGTGTAATAAGAATTAGTCTGCAGACAGACCACTGTGTAATAAGAATTAGTCTACAGACAGACCAGTGTGTAAAAAGAAGTCAAAGAGAACTGTTGGAGTAGGTGGGGGTCCTACTGAGAGGGTGTGTGGTGTGTGTGTGTGTGTGTGTGTGTGTGTGTGTGTGTGTGTGTGTGGAGAGCGGGTTGTATAGGGGTAGAGGCTAGAGGAGCAGTATTCATGGTTAACAGCACACACACACACAGGGGATGAACACACACAGAGCACATTGTGTGTAGGACTGAGCACGACACAATAGCTGAAGGGTCCTTGGTTTCATTAACGTCTTGAGGGCCCGTGTTTCTTAGTCTCAAGAGCATGGTTTAGTTTACCTCCTTGAGTCATCTGGATAGGGGGCAACTAACTCCAGGTTCAGGAGTCAGTTCTCCAAGAGACAATGGGCTTTTCACTCCTGAACAGACTGTTATGATTAATGGGTGTGTTGATTGATTTATTGATTTGTTGATTGATTGATAATTGCAAAGAATGTGGGCACTTTGTGGAATATTGCACAATGTGTGCATGGTAAAGATTTGGTACAAATCAATGTAAATATATTCCCTTTTTATACATAGGCAAGACTGTAACTGTAATCAAGCTTGTAAACTTCATTACATTATTCATCTTTTACACTATACATCCAATAATGAAGCATATTATTTGCAAGTTACAGTGGTTTCTAAATGATAATTTGGTTACTGAATGTTGATTACAGTGGACTCTAAATTATAATACGGTTACTGAATGTTGATTACAGTGGACTCTAAATTATATAATACGGTTACTGAATGTTGATTACAGTGGACTCTAAATTATAATACGGTTACTGAATGTTGATTACAGTGGACTCTAAATTATAATACGGTTACTGAATGTTGATTACAGTGGACTCTAAATTATAATACGGTTACTGAATGTTGATTACAGTGGACTCTAACTGATAATTCGGTTACTGAATGTTGATTACAGTGGACTCTAACTGATAATTCGGTTACTGAATGTTGATTACAGTGGACTCTAACTGATAATTCGGTTACTGAATGTTGATTACAGTGGACTCTAACTGATAATTCGGTTACTGAATGTTGATTACAGTGGACTCTAACTGATAATTCGGTTACTGAATGTTGATTACAGTGGGTTCTAACTGTTGCGGCACCTAAACACATAGAATAATGTATTATATTTTCCTAGAAGTTACACAGTGGGTAACTGTCAGATTCCTCTGACCGTTGCTGCCTCGCTTACAATCCTGTCCTCTTTAAAAGCCTCTTGTCTTTGACTGAGGGGCCGGTGGGGAGAGTCCTCTTCTCTCTCTCTGTCAGTTCTCAGTACTCCATGATAGCCTCATTAGCTGTGTCCTCACCATTGTTGTTTTACAACAGAGTTGTGTGGAGAGAATCCTCATTATAGAAGGTCTTCTTTATTTGGCCTGGGGGACTGCTGAAGCAAGTAATATAACACACAGGCAGTCAGCCCTCTTAGATTCAACGGCAGCCAGAGAATCAACACTATTTCTATTTTCTCCAGCTGCTCTCTTTTAGTTGTTTTTCCCCTTTCCCTACACACACACACACACACACACACACACACACACACACACACACACACACACACACACACACACACACACACACACACACACACACACACACACACACACATAAAATCAATTCAAAGATTTGTTTTGGAGGTTTGTTTGTTAACAGGAGAGAGCCTGTTGATTTCTGTCTTCATTTTGGAAATGGAGCATAAATCATGAGGACTTTGAGGGTGCAGTACACAGGCTATTTCTGTCTGTTGATTTGAACAGTTAAAACTCTCTAGCTACTTGACCATGTATTTGCCTGAGCGTTGCTCCTTGATCTGACATTACTGAACTAACCTGGCAGTCTTTTGTAATGTTCTCCTGTAGATAATGAGATACTAGCGCCATAAGGCCTAGGACAGAACAAGACCTAACACCACCACAAAACTAGAAGGAGCTACTTCCTGGCTTTGCAATTGCCCCGTGGTTATCTGAATGACAAGGTTAGCATTCAACAGTGACCTACAGGATGTGTTGTATTCAGGATCACTGAACATAGAAACCAACTAATGATATGATGTTGGTTGGTTGCTTACTGTCCTGAAGACAGATAGAGTACCCTGCAAAACTAGACCTGCCAACTGCTGATTTCTGCAGTGAAAGACAGATAGACAGAGAGACAGAGAGACAGACAGACAGACAGATAGAAGGAGAGACAGAGAGACAGAGAGACAGACAGACAGACAGACAGATAGAAGGAGAGACAGAGAAACAGAGAGACAGAGAGACAAACAGAGACCCATGAGTCTTCTCAACTCTCATCGGAACGTAAAGAAAATAACCTATAGAGTCATCTGTCCAGAACGTATTTGTCAACGTCTGTATTTACTGACTTCAGCTTGTTCTTCTCCGAACGACTGACTGACTGAAAAACCTCTGTACTTGACCTTCTTTTTATTTGGCACGGCAACAAAGTCATTTAGTTACAGAATGACTATTTTTTGTAGGAAATAGGAGTATTAAATATAGCATGACAGGGACAACCTTCATGTATCGCTACGACAACAACAACAACCGAAACATCTCCATCTTTGACCTCCATTTTCTCCTGTATGCAGAATGAAGCAATTTATCACCAGCCCCAAAATCTCTGCTCCCTAATTAATTACAACTAAGTAAAGAATGTTTGGGGAGCCAAATTGGTTTAATTCCCCCAACACAGCATCACGGCGGTGAAAGTCATTCATTACCAAATGTGTGCTCAAAGGTTAGTTTGCTTTGTGTGAAGACGAAATAATCATTCATTCCAGAGCCAGGAGAGCTTGCAGGGAGAGCAGGGTAGAGGAACAGTTTGTCACTAGGCCACAGAGACATCAGAGATGTGTCCCAGGAGAGATTGCAGGGTAGAGGAACAGTTTCTCACTAGGCCACAGAGACATCAGAGATGTGTTATAGGGATGTGTCCAGCCAGGGAGGGAACGTGCCTCTCTCTCTCTCTGCCTGTTCCTGATGTGCTGTGGCCTAATGACACCCTATTCTCTTTATAGTGCACTACTTTTGACCAGATATAGGGAATAGGGTGCCATTTGGGATGCACACCAAGTCTTTAGGGTTCCTTTCTACTCCACACTAGCAGCACTGACTCTCTCAGTGCACCAGTCGAGCAGATCTGGTGTGAGGTGTTCCCCGACAGCTTTACAGCACTCAGATCATCTTTAGGTCCATCGTAGGTAATGGATTAAGGAGGATTTCAGTGCTACGAAGCTTCCAGGAAACTCACCTCTGCTGGTTTTCTACACTGGCCTTTCTTCCTGGAGTGTCTAATCAACACATCAGCCACCTATTACAGACAAGTGACTCCTCAGGAGCACCTGTTAGCGTTCAGAGAGGAGTGACTCCTCAGGAGCACCTGTTAGCGTTCAGAGAGGAGTGACTCCTCAGGAGCACCTGTTAGCGTTCAGAGAGGAGTGACTCCTCAGGAGCACCTGTTAGCGTTCAGAGAGGAGTGACTCCTCAGGAGCACCTGTTAGCGTTCAGAGAGGAGTGACTCCTCAGGAGCACCTGTTAGCGTTCAGAGAGGAGTGACTCCTCAGGAGCACCTGTTAGCGTTCAGAGAGGAGTGACTCCTCAGGAGCACCTGTTAGCGGTCAGAGAGGAGTGACTCCTTAGGAGCACCTGTTAGCGTTCAGAGAGGAGTGACTCCTCAGGAGCACCTGTTAGCGTTCAGAGAGGAGGAGAGGAGTGAGGGATGAAGAGGGAGGGGGAGGTGTCATTGACACAAACCAATGCACTCTGGGAGTCTCCCATTAGCAGGCCCAGCAGGGATTCTGGGTAAAGAGTCTTGGGCATCCCAAATTGCACCCTATTCCCTGTATAGTGCACTCCTTTTGACCAGAGCCCTATGTATGCTGCTAAAGTAGTGCACTATAGAGGAAATAGGGTGCAGGCCCTCTCAGTACGCAGCCTGGCGGCCTCTCGGTCAGCTCTGGTCTATAGCCATGTGCAGAACTCCACCTGAAAGGCCCAGGGGACTGGCCTTCAGAAGCCTCAGTAACCTAATCAAGACACCACTGCTGCTGGAGTGAGTGTTTAGGATATAGGAAACACGCAGAACTAAAAAAACTGTAGGACAATTAGGTTGTATCTTCACTAATGTCTCCCTCACTTCTTTTTCTAAACACACTAAAAGTTCCAATTGGATCTTCCTTCTCCTGTTCATCATTCTGACCCCGTTAAAAAAATACATCTGATTTGAATTTGAAGCAGTTTAAATGAACAGCAATACGGTTGAGAGGATGAAGGTACCATCCCTCTCTAAGGAAAATCAATCAAATAAATATCTTCCCATATCAACAACGGAAATTACCACACCGTTTTCGATTGTGCCATCCACATATTCAGGGCAGGCCTTTTGGAGGGTGGTTTTATTGGGGGTAATAGGGACTATTTAGCGGATAATATGGCTTTGATATAGAGGAGAGGAAGAAGCAGACTGTCATAATGGAGCTGGGGCTTTCTAGCCTCTGCATGAATTTTGATGATGAGCACAATGCCTTAAATCCCTTTCTTATTGGAGTCGCCTCCCTTGCAGGTACTTCTGAGAGCTCTAATAGAAGGAGAAGGAGACAATAGATTTATATCTCTCTCAAGCCCCTTTCAGGTCACTGGCTGCTTCCCAAATGGGTAACCTATTCCCTATATAGTGCACTACTTTCTATGGGCTCTGGTCAAAAGTAGTGCACTATGTAGGGCATAGGGTGCTGTTTGGGACATCTACCACGGATAATTCCTACGATCTCTTTAAACTTGAAATGAGCACTTCATGAATCATTCATTTTTAATAGATTATGCAAATTTTCGAGGGACATAAAAAAAAAATCAACAAGATCAATAACGGCAGTCATTTTAATTGGTGTTAGAAAACATTTTAAGGATAAACATAATCTCCCCACTTCTTTCCCCAGCCCCGTAAAAGCACAATTAATTTGAAATTGGATCTCAGCCTAAATGCTGAAGATAATTTAGTTTTTTTTTTGTTGCTGTTGCTCAGCTTGGATTCCTCTTGCTGGGCTGGGCTTACTGTTAGAAAGTAAACTGTAATACTGAGTCATTACAGAGAAGCTAAAACCTCAAATAACTGAATAAAACATATTACAATTATTACCAAAGTAGAAACAGCCACCAAGGGAAAACCAAGAAGTGACACTAGTCAGAAAACCGTCATAAAGAGAAAGTCAATGCTTCCACAATTCATCTATAAAGAGGGGATAACCATTCACATTTTTAAAAGCAAAAACTAATAATCTCACAATCTAAAAATATGAGTTAAGACAGAATTTAGAGCACAAGAATGTCAAATTGTCACGTTCTCTTTCCTGTTTGATGTATTTTTTAACGTCCTAAAGCATCGGAGACCTTTCTGTGGGCCTCTAGTCTAAAACAGCCACCCAGGTGCAAACAAAGCCCCCTGACCAGGCCCTGCCTTCATACCCGCAGCACAAAGGACAAACACACACCTTTCTTCTCACGAGGCCTGACTTACAGGGGAGATCTACCTCCCACCCACATATTAATGAGAAAAGGCTCCTTTCTTTTCTCATAAGGCTGCTGTTTGGGTTATCATTTGAGAAGGGGCCCGGCCACTCGCTCCTCGCTCGCCGCAGTTTTCAATCATTCTGTCCTCCCGGTGCAGAAACCCTTTGATGACTTGCTGCATAATTATATGAATTTTAATAAAAGCTCTGTATATTAATCTTGCGGCCGACAGTAATCGTAAACTTTCAGTAAACTTAACCTTCTTCTTGGTAATAACCGTGGCAACAATGAAACAATATTTCAATTAGCGAGGCAGTCATTAACTATGACAGAGATTGAGAGAGAGAGAGAGCGAACGAGAGAGAGAGAGAGCAAGAGAGAGAGAGAGAGAGAGAGAGAGAGAGAGAGAGAGAGAGAGAGAGAGAGAGAGAGAGACGGAGGGGAGAAGAGGAGGAGAGAGAGAGAGAGAGAGAGAATGATCAGAAAATGCCATGGTGAAAAGCAGCAAATTCCTCGTCTATTTTTAAAAGTACCACAACAAGCTATAGGCTATGTTTGTGTACAAAAAAAACCTCCTAAGTCACAAATCACAACAAGGACAAACCAGCAGCGAGAAACCAGCGTTCATTCTCTCTCCCGCAGAGGGTGGCAATGACTGGTAGAGACCTTGCCAGTTCAGCTCTGTAGTAAGCAATCATAGCATTGATGTGCTGACATCAAAGGTTCTTGTCGAACAAAGTGACAAAACAGCGAAGTCCCCCATGTTGTCTTGCTGTGGATGCATCCTAAATGCCACCCTACTTCCTTTATAGTGCAGTACTTTTGACCAGGTCCAATAGTGCACTACATAGGAAATAGGGTGTCATTTGGGATGTATACTGCATCACCTGCTAACTCAGCACAATAAGATGAATGACGGCTGCTACTGCTACTGTTTTATCTCATAAAGTAAAGTACCACCTTCCAACTCAGTGTCAAACCAAACAGCTACTACTACTACTACTACTACTACTACTACTACTACTACTGCTACTACTACTGCTACTGATACTACTACTACTACTACTACTACTACTACTACTACTACTACTACTACTACTGCTACTGATACTACTACTAATACTACTAATACTACTACTGATACTACTGATACTACTACTACTACTACTACTACTACTACTACTACTACTACTACTACTTCTACTACTAAAACTACTACTACTGATACTACTACTACTACTACTACTACTACTACTACTACTACTACTACTACTACTACTACTACTACTACTACTGAACTACTACTACTACTACTACTACTACTACTAATACTAGTACTGATACGACTGCTACTACTACTACTGTTACTACTCTACTACTACTAAACTACTACTACTGATACTACTACTGATACACTACTACTTACTACTACTACTACTACGACTGATACTACTACTCTACTACTACTACTACTACTACTACTACTACTACTACTACTACTACTACTACTGATACTACTACTACTACTACTTACTCCTGCTACTGCTCTGCTGCTGCTACTACTACTACTACTACTACTACTGCTCTGCTACTGCTGCTACTACTACTACTACTACTACTACACTACTACTCCTCAACTACTACTCCTACTACTACTACTGATCCTCTGATAGTACTACTACTACTACTACTACTACTACTCCTGCTACTCTGCTGCTGGCCTGCTGCGCCTACTACTACTACTCTCCATAACTTCTAACTTCTGCTTCACTCCTACTACTCCTTCCTCCTACTCCTCCTCCTCCTCCTACTACTCCTACTCACTTATACTACTTCGTACTCACTCCTCCTCCTCCTCCCTCCTCCTCCTACTGATGAGCCTATCAACTCCTACGAAAAAATCTCACCTCCTAGCCTCACTGACTCTCCGTGACCTGGCCTCCATCCGCCTCCTCCTCCGTACTGCTAAGCCTCTACTACTACTGATTACTACTATTACTACTACTTACTACTACTGATACTCTACTACTACTACTACTACTACTACTACTCTACTACTACTACCTACTACTCCTCTACTTACTACTCCTGCTCCTACTACTATTGACTACTTTACTATTACTACTACTACTACTACTACTACTACTCTGATACTACTACTACTACTGACTACTACCACCTCCCTCCACTGCCTTCTACCTTGCTGCTGCTGCTACTTACTACTATAATACTACTCTACTACTACTACCTACTCCTCCTACTACGACTACTACTACTACTACTACTGCTACTGAGACTACTACTACATACTACTAATACTACTACTGATACTACTGATCCTACTACTACTGAACTGCTACTTCTTCTGCTGCGCTACTACTACTACTACTACTAACTACTACTCCTACTACCTACTCTACTACCTACTCCTCCTCCTGACCTCCCTCCTTCCTGCTCCTCCTCCTGCTCCTGACTACTCGCTCCTCCTCTTACTAACTACCTACCTCCTCCTCGCTCCTCCTACCTTCTCCTATCTTGCTGTCCTAACCTCAAGGTCTACCTCCTCTATCTCCTACTTCTACTCCACTTGCGCTTCCTGCCTACACTACAAGTGCCTGCCGTAATTCCTTGCCTGGGTACAGACCTCCTAACCGTATACGCTCCATCGCTCCTAGCCGGGTCGGTGACCTGTCTATTGGCTCCTCATCTCCTCCGATCCTCCTATACGGCCTCTCCCTCCTGTCCTCCTGAACACTCCACTCCGTGCAAACCTCGTTAGCCGTCCCTCCTGCCTGGGGGAGTCCTCCCTGCCTTCTTCCCTTTCATCCTACCCTCGGCCTACCTGGGCCTCTCTTCCGTGAGCCTCCTCTCCTTCTCCCTGCCCTTCGTTCGCTCCTCCTCCTCCCTAGCCTCCGCCAGGCGCTACTCCTGGGACGTTCTCCTTTCCTCCCCCTCCCTTCCGGTCCTGGTCGTGCCTCCTGTCTCCTGCCTTTGAGGGGGAACCTCCCTTGGGACCGGCGTCCTCCCGATTCTCGGCTGCCTTAAGCCTGCACCGTCCTCTCCTCTTTCCTCCTCCCCTCCTCCGTGTTCTCCTCCCTCCTGCTCCTACCTCACTTCCCTCGCTCAGCATACTACATAACTGACTGATACTACTGCTCCTACTACTGCTACTACTACTACTACTACTACTACTGAACTACTACTGATACTACGACTACTATCTATACTACTGATACTCACTACTGACTACTACTAATACTACTAACTCCTGACTATACTACTACTACTCTACTCTACTGTACTTGCTACTCTCCTAACTCCTAACTACTTCCTTCTACTTCTGTCGTTCTTCTTCCTCACTAAACTCCTACTACTACAACTACTACTCCTCCTCCTCCTGTCTAATCTCCTGTCATTCTCCCTACTTGCCTCCTCCTCCTCCTCCGTCCATGAGGCCGTGCCTCCTGAAGGAAATGAAGGAAAAGGTGCCTGATTGCCTCCTCCTCCTCCTACTCCTAGTCGTCCTTCTCAACCTCCTCGCTCCTAACCCCTCGCTCCTACTCCTTCTCCTCCTTCCACCGTACCTGGGGCCTCCTACTGCTACTGCTACTGCTGCTCTCACTACTACTCTACTACTACTCCTACTACTACTACTACTAACTACGGATACTACTGTACTACTATTACTATTACGTACTACTACTACTACACTACTACTCCTCCTACTCCGGTCCTTCTACCTTCTTCTGTGGCTGTCTTCCTCGCCGCCTACCTCCGTATCTACCTCTCCTCCTGATAACCTTCTCCTTCTTCTCCTACTCCTCCTCTCCTCCTCCTACCTCCTCCTGAGCCTATCCGTAGAAACACCTTCTCCTCCTTTCTCCCTGCCTGCCTCGCTCCTACCTCCTCCTCCTACCTCCTTGCCGTCGCTCCTCGCCTTATCCTGACGATCCGTCCTTAGGGCCTACTTGTACCTCCTTCCCAGATCTCCTCCTACCTCCTTACTGCCTCCTGAAGCATGCTCTCCTGCCTCCCTCCTACCTATCGCTCCTTCTACGCTCCTCTTGCCTGCCTCCTCCTGCAGCCTCCTTCTCCTCCTCCTGCCGCTCCTCCAAGCCTCCTCCGTCCTCCTCCTCTTGGCCATACCTGCCTCGCTCCTGCCTTCAGTTCTTCCTTCCTGCCTACTACTACTATTACTACTACTACTCCGCTACTACTACTACTTACTACTACTACTCTACTAACTACTCCTGATACTACTACTCCTACTACTACTCTGCTACTGCTTCGTGCTGCTTCTACTTACTACTACTACTACTACTACTACTCCTCCTACTACTACTACTGCCTCCCTGCTTCTGACCTCCTACCTGACCTACCTCCTCCTGCCGCTCTCCTGCCTCCTCCTCGCTCCCCTCCTCCATGTCCTGAGACTCCTCCGTCCTTCTCACGTTCTCCTCCTACCTGGCCTACTTCACTGATACTACTGATACTACTACTACTACTGCTACTACTGCTAGCTTTCTCTACTACTCCTACTTACTACTACTACTACTACCCTACCTACTACTTCCTACTTATCCTCCTGAGTTACTCCCTACTACTCCTCCTCCTACTTACCTCCTTCCACTACTACTACTGATACTACTACTAATACTACTACTACTACTGATACTACTACTGACTCTACTACTATACTACTACTGATCTAATATTACTACTACTACTACGACGGGATACTACTGATACTACTCTTACTAACTCCGTACTCTACTACTGACCTACCTACTCCTGAATACTACTCCTACCTACTACTCCTAGTTATTTTACTACTGCCTGACTCCTACCCTTCCTACTACTACTACTACTGATACTACTATTACATACTACTAATACTAACTGATACTACTATTTAACTACTCCTACTACTACTTACTGATACTACTACTACTACTACTATATTCGACTTCCACTACTACTACTTTGCACTCTACCTACTACTTACTTGACCTACTGACTACACTACTCACTCCTCCTACTACTCCTACTCCTCCTTCTCACCTTCTTTCTCCTACTACCTCCTCTCCTCCTCCTCCCCTATACTACTACACTCCACTACTACTACTTCTATAAACGCTGCTACTACTACTACTACTACTACTACTACTACTACTGATACTACTGAATTACTACTCTAAACTACTACTACTACTACTACACACGCTCCTGCTACTGCTGCTGCTGCTAACTACTACTCTAGTACTACTACTACTGCTACTGCTGCTCTACTCTACTACTACTACTACTACTACTAACTCCTACTACTTACTGCTTACTACAACTGTCTCCCACTACTACTCAACCTCACCTACTCCTACTCCTACTACTCCTACGACTTGTCTGGCATACTCCTCACCTGTCTAGCCCCCTCCTGACCTTGCCTTCTGCCTACTCCTAGGGGTAGAAAACAAGGGGACTGGATGGATGGAAGTAGCGATGGAGTGGATAGTTAGCACACGGGACAAAAAAGTAGGGAGTAGAGCTTGAGATGAGAGAACTAAAGGTAATAGGGGTAGCTAGGTTTGGACTAAAGTGAAAAAGACTCCTGAACGGGGGAAAATTGGAACACGTGAGGTTCTCCCATATATGCCCTCCTCCTCTCCGCCTTGCCCACCTACCCTCCCTCTACGCTTCCCCTGCCGTCTGCCTCCTCCTCGTCTCCTGCGGTCGCTACCTCGCTCGCGTACCTCCGTCTGGCACCTCCTCCTCCTTTGTTCTAGGCTGCTACTATACTACTTGCTACTACTAATCGAGAGTGTCAAAACCAAACGGCTACTACTCCTACTACTTACTACTACTGACTACTCACTACTGGCTACTCTACCACTATACGACTACTACTACTACTACTACTACTAACTACTCCTACTACTCCTACTCCTGCTGCTACTACCTACCTCCTACTCCTCACTACTCACCCTTCCCCCCCTCCTCCTCCTACTCCTCCTACCTCCTCCTCCTACTCGTCCTACCCCTCCTGGCTCTTACTCCCTCTCCTCCTCCTCTCCTTCTACCTACTCCTACCCCTCCTGTTCTACAAGTTCTCTCCGCTCCTCCTACCCTCGCTCTCCTGGGGGAGCGTCCTCCTCCTAGGGCCTGTGTCCTTCTCGCCTTGCTGACCTATCCTCCTAAAACCTAGCCTTCCTCCTCCTACCTGGAACCTGCCCTGCCTTTCTCTCCTCCATTCTTCCTAGTTCCTGCCCATCCTCCGTGCCGGGCCGCACGGGGTACTCACCCCCTTTCGCCTTGTCGCCTGTCCTTTGTCCTGGCCTCCTCCTCCCTTTTCCCCTGTCTCTCCTAGTGCCTCCTCTCCTGATACTACTACTAATACTACTACTCTACTACTACTACTGACTACTAACACTACTACTACTGATACTCCTATTACTTACTACTAATACTACTGATACTACTATTACTACTACTACGACTACTCGATACTACTACTACTACTACTACATTAGGTACTACTACACTACTCCTACTACTACTCTACTACTCTACTACTACTCAGTACTACTACTACTGATCCTTCTACTACTATTACACTACTACGACTACTACTACTCCTAACTCTACTACACTCCTAATACTACTACTACTACTACTACTACTACTCCTTCTACTTGCTGCTCCTACTACTGGACTACTACTACTGCTACTACTCCTACTACTAACTACTACTATACTACGAAGGAACCTAGGCTTCTCCTTTCTTCTCCTCCTCTTAGCTACCTCACCCTCCTCGCTCTTCCGTCCTTCTCCGTACTGATACTACTATTACTCTCTACTACTACTATACTACACTACTCCTGCTCACTGCTTACTGCTACCTACTCCCTCTAGTACTCCTCGCTCACTATAGGCCTACTCCGTTCTGTCTTCTCCATCCTAGGGAGCCTCCCTCCTACTGCCTCCATCCTCCTTCTCCTAAATCCCAACCCTTCTCCTACCTGCCTCCTCCTCTTCCCTACCTCCGTGGCCTCCCTCCTCGCCCTGCCTTTGGTCTTCTGCTACCTATCGTAAGGAGATACCCCTGCCTCCTACCTGAACCATTCGTCTACCTAGACGCTACGAGCTTCTGCCCCGAAGACCTCCTAGCCTATAACGCCCCCTCCCCCTGGCCTGCCTGCCCTTGCCTCCCTCCTGACGCTCCCTACCCTCCTCACTCGCTCTCCTAAACCTACTCTGCCTCCTCCTACAACTCTGATCGGTTTCTGGCTCTCTCCCTACCTTCTGTTCTCCTCTCCTGCCTGCCTGACCTCCTTTGTCCCCGCCTGCCCCCGTGCTGCCTGCCTACCTCACTGGAGTGTTGCGCTCCGTCCGTCCACGGCCTCCTACCATGAAGGCCTTCCTACACTGACCTGTCTTACCTGCCACCTCTTCCTAGCCCTACCTCACCTGCCTTCCTCCTGGGCCTCGTCCACGTAAATTCCTCTCTAGAGCCTCCCGTCACTACCAGCTCACCTTCTTTCTCACCTCGCAGTAGCCTCAGGCCTCACTGCCTGGCTCTGACCTTCCCGCCCGGCCTCCTACCTAGCCTGCCTCCTGACCGGGTAGCCTCCCTAAACGCCTCCTCCTCCTCCTGGCCCCCTTCCTCACTCCTGGCCCCCTCCGTTTGCCTTCCTCCTCCTCCTGCCTCCCCTCCTCCCTTCGTCGCTCACCATCCTCCTCCGTCGCTGCCATCCTCCTCCTTCACTTCTGCGAAAGGGAGTATCGGGTCCTTCTCCTGCTCCTCCTAATCTCTTCACTCCGTTCCTTGGGTACCTACCTCCTCCTCCTGGGTCTCTTCTCCTACTCCTATGCTGCCTCTCTCCTACGCTCCTGAGCTCCTTACCGTCACCGTCCCCCTGGCCTATCCTTCCTCCTCCATGGAGGCTCGTGCCTACCATCCTCCCCAGTACCTGGTGGGGGCGCTTGTACCATAGAAACCTCCTTCTCCTACCTCCTCCTGCCTCCTACCTAACTCCCTCACTACTACTACTACTACTCAGAGTGTCAAACCAAACGGCATTAAAAGAATCTGCACACTTACTTTGATGTTTCTGGTTGGAGTATTCTTTTTTATTTTTATGTCATGTAAATAAATAGACGCCATGTCATTGCATTGCACAACATCATGTTGTTTTGTTTCATTACAATGTTGGCTGTTCTGAACAGAACAGTGAACAAAGGCCCATCCCAAATACCACCCCATTCCCTACATTGTGCACTACTTTTGACCAGAGCCCTATGGACCCTGGTCAAAAGTAGTGCACTAGAAAAGGGTGCCATTTGGGAAACAAACCAATAATCCCCTTAGCTGAAGCTGTGGTTTGGCCTGTCCTGGCTGGGCAGGCAGACGATGCTAGGGCCGTAGGTACAGTATGAAGCATCTTATACCAGGAGTAACTGATCTAGGATCAGGTCCCAACTCTCCATGTAATCATATTAATTATGATCTAAAAGGCTAAACTGATCCTATATATGCACTCCTACTCTGAGACACACAGCCAAAAGCAACTTACAAATATGTTTGTATCGTTGCCCTAGCGTGGAATCAAACCCACAACTGCAGGACTCGTGTTGCAAGCATCATGCTCTACCAACTGAGCCACACAGACAGGACCAGTGTTTGGCTCTGTGCCTTACCTACAGAGTAGCTCTGTGTCACGGAGACACTGGGGCCAAGGTTCTGGTTACCGCTGGAGGACAGGCTGGGTTTGACCTCACCGTCCAGACCAGGGTTCAGGGAGGACAGGGAGTGGGAGTACTCGTTGGCCTGCAAAAAAAGACACGTTCACCATTACACAACCATAGAAATGAAGAAGAAAGGCTCATCTCTCCCTGCTGTGGGATTTATTCCACCAATGTTTCATCTAAAGAGCCTTCATTAATCAGGGTTACACAATAACACAACATTAGCTACCAAAACCATGCTTATAGAGTCAAATACTGTCTCTCCATGAATCGTAGGATGTCTATGTGTGAGTGTGTGTGTGTGGGTGGGTGGGGTATGGGTGGGTTGTGGGTGTCTGGGTTGGGTTTTGGGTGTGTGTGTGTGCACGCATAAGTGTGTGCATGCATATTTGTGTGTGTGTGTGTGTGCACTATTTTCAAGCTGCAGCAGTGAGGGTGACAGTTCAAGCATATCATTAAAGTATTTTGGTTTTGTCTGAGAGGAAGTGGGATTTAGAAGAGCAGAATGAAAAGCCAAGCCGTCATCTGGTCCTTTGTGCTTGACTGCAGCCAGGAGTCCTGATCAGCCAAGGGAGAAAGCAGTTCTGCTTGGTTACCACGCCTCTGTCCCAAATGGCACCCTGTTCCCTGTACAGTGCACTAGTTTTGGTCAAAAGTAGTGCACTGTACGGGGAATAAGATTACATTTTGGACGCACACAGACATGCCATGTGGCCCTGGTTCAGACAGGACACTATTCACCTTTTGGCTTTTTTACATTTTGAATCTAAAAAAGCTTCCCCACAACCCTTTAACATTTCATTGGTTCATCATCAGTAACTAAAAATAGGTCTTCATATACTGTAACTTACATTGTTCTGTGTTACCATGTACAAATGAATATCAAACTGAAAGTAATACTATTTATATATGTTTTATCATAGTGAAGAAATTACTTCATTTTATATCGACCAATGATGTATTTTCTATGTATTTTAGATTGGACTACAATACATTACTATAAAGACACTTTGTATACCCACAGAAAGTATTTCCCTTTGTACGGCGGCGGACGGTTTAAGACGGTCATGGCAGATGTTAGTGTGTTTTATAATGAGATCAGACGTCCGGAGACTGTGTGTTGACGATGTTTGTCCAAAGCCCAGTGTGTGTCTGAGTGGCTCGCTGGGCCGCGGTCCCAAAGGGGACGCCTGGGAGCCTGTGACCCCACTCTTGTCTGCTTCTATCCCAGACAAACTCTAATTGTCTGCTACAACTGTTCACTGGGACAATGTCGGATGTTTTCCTCTATTCTTGAAGGCTTTAGATGCCAAACAGACGTTTTATCATGCAGATAAAGGATGGGTTAGAGGAGGGGGAGAGGAAGGAAAAAACCCCAAAGAAAAGATAGATTTGAAAAGGATGACCAAATGGCTAGCAGAAGTGTGGGAGGGGTGAATCTATTTAGTTCTGCATCTCCAGAATGGTGTTGTAATGGCCTTCTAACCAGGACCCAGACCCTGGCTAATAGGGGCACATTTACCAACCAGGAAAAAGGGGGCAAAACGACAAGAGAAAGAGGGATCCATGAAAGGAGAAAATCCTCTGATTAATATTATATTAAATTAAAATAGATTTTTCTGGGCTGTTCCCGTCGCATCCACTCATTTTCCCATATTCTTCTACTGGCCTCTTATTCCCTTATTCTTCTACTGGCCTCTTATTCCCTTATTGTTCTACTGGTCTCTTTTTCCCTTATTGATCCACTGGCCTCTTATTCCCTTATTGTTCCACTGGCCTCTTTCCCTATTTTCTACTGCCTCTTTTTCCCTTATTGTTCTACTGGCCTCTTATTCCTTTTCTCTACTGCCTCTATTCCCTTATTCTTCTACTGGCCTCTTATTCCCTTATTCTTCTACTGCTGCATTCCCTATTGTTCACTCTCTTATTCCTACGTATGTTCTACTGCCCTTATTCTTATGTTTCTGGCCTCTTATTCCCTATTGTCGTCTTATTCCCTTTTGTTCTAACTGGCCTCTTATTTCCCTTATTGTTCTAACTGGCCTCTTATTCGTCCCTTATTGTTCTACTGGCCTCTATTTCCCATGTGTTCTACTGGCCACTTAATTCGTTATTCTCTACTGGCCTCTTATTCCCTTATTGTTCTCGGGCCTCTTATTCCCTTATTGTTCTATACTGGACTCTTATTCCCTTATGGTTTTTTCTAACGGCCTCATTATTCCATGTTTGTGTTCATAACTGGCCACTTAGTCGTTATTCTTCTACTGGCCTCTTCTCCCTATTGTTCTACTGGCCCTCTTATTCCTATTGTTCTACTGGACTCTTTATTCCCTTATTTTTCTACTGCCTCTTATTCCCTAGGTTCTGGACTCTTATTCCTCTTATTGTTCTACTGGCCTCTTATTCCCTTATTGTTCTACTGGCCTCTTATTCCCTTATTGTTTCACTGGCCTCTTATTCCCTTATTGTTCTACTGGCCTCTTATTCCCTTATTGTTCTACTGGCCTCTTATTCCCATATTCTTCTACTGGCGTCTTATTCCCTTATTGTTCTACTGGACTCTTATTCCCTTATTGTTCTACTGTTCTCTTATTCCCTTATTGTTCTACTGGTCTCTTATTCCCTTATTGTTCTACTGGCCTCGTATTCCCTTATTGTTCTACTGGTCTCTTATTCCCTTACTGTTCTACTGGTCTCTTATTCCCTTATTGTTCTACTGGCCTCTTATTCCCATATTCTTCTACTGGCGTCTTATTCCCTTATTGTTCTACTGGACTCTTATTCCCTTATTGTTCTACTGTTCTCTTATTCCCTTATTGTTCTACTGGTCTCTTATTCCCTTATTGTTCTACTGGTCTCTTATTCCCTTATTGTTCTACTGTTCTCTTATTCCCTTATTGTTCTACTGGTCTCTTATTCCCTTATTGTTCTACTGGCCTCGTATTCCCTTATTGTTCTACTGGTCTCTTATTCCCTTACTGTTCTACTGGTCTCTTATTCCCTTATTGTTCTACTGGCCTCTTATTCCCATATTCTTCTACTGGCGTCTTATTCCCTTATTGTTCTACTGGACTCTTATTCCCTTATTGTTCTACTGTTCTCTTATTCCCTTATTGTTCTACTGTTCTCTTATTCCCTTATTGTTCTACTGTTCTCTTATTCCCTTATTGTTCTACTGGTCTCTTATTCCCTTATTGTTCTACTGGACTCTTATTCCCTTATTGTTCTACTGTTCTCTTATTCCCTTATTGTTCTACTGGTCTCTTATTCCCTTATTGTTCTACTGTTCTCTTATTCCCTTATTGTTCTACTGGTCTCTTATTCCCTTATTGTTCTACTGGCCTCGTATTCCCTTACTGTTCTACTGGTCTCTTATTCCCTTATTGTTCTACTGGACTCTTATTCCCTTATTGTTCTACTGTTCTCTTATTCCCTTATTGTTCTACTGGTCTCTTATTCCCTTATTGTTCTACTGGTCTCTTATTCCCTTATTGTTCTACTGGTCTCTTATTCCCTTATTGTTCTACTGGCCTCGTATTCCCTTACTGTTCTACTGGACTCTTATTCCCTTATTGTTCTACTGGTCTCTTATTCCCTTATTGTTCTACTGGTCTCTTATTCCCTTATTGTTCTACTGGTCTCTTATTCCCTTATTGTTCTACTGGCCTCGTATTCCCTTATTGTTCTACTGGTCTCTTATTCCCTTATTGTTCTACTGGTCTCTTATTCCCTTATTGTTCTACTGGTCTCTTATTCCCTTATTGTTCTACTGGCCTCGTATTCCCTTACTGTTCTACTGGACTCTTATTCCCTTATTGTTCTACTGGACTCGTATTCCCTTATTGTTCTACTGGACTCGTATTCCCTTATTGTTCTACTGGTCTCTTATTCCCTTATTGTTCTACTGGTCTCGTATTCCCTTATTGTTCTACTGGCCTCTTATTCCCTTATTGTTCTACTGGCCTCTTATTCCCTTATTGTTCTACTGGCGTCTTATTCCCTTATTGTTCTACTGGCCTCTTATTCCCTTAATTGTTTCTACTGGCGTCTTTATTCCCTTATTGTTCTACTGGTCTCGTATTCCCTTATTGTTCTAACTGGTCTCTTATTCCCTTATTGTTTCTACTGGACTCTTATTCCCTTATTGTTCTACTGGCCTCTTATTCCCTTATTGTTCTACTGGCGTCTATTCCCTTATTGTTCTACTGGTCTCGTATTCCCTTATTGTTCTACTGGTCTCTTATTCCCTTATTGTTCTACTGGTCTCTTATTCCCTTATTGTTCTACTGGTCTCGTATTCCCTTATTTGTTCTACTGGCGTCTTATTCCCTTATTGTTCTAACTGGTCTCGTATTCCCTTATGGTTCTACTGGTCTCTTATTCCCTTATTGTTCTACTGGTCTCTTATTCCCTTATTGTCTACTGGCCTCTTATTCCCTTATTGTTCTACTGGCGTCTTATTCCCTTATTGTTCTACTGGTCTCGTATTCCCTTATTGTTCTACTGGTCTCTTATTCCCTTATTGTTCTACTGGACTCTTATTCCCTTATTGTTCTACTGGCCTCTTATTCCCTTATTGTTCTACTGGCGTCTTATTCCCTTATTGTTCTACTGGTCTCGTATTCCCTTATTGTTCTACTGGTCTCTTATTCCCTTATTGTTCTACTGGTCTCTTATTCCCTTATTGTTCTACTGGCCTCTTATTCCCTTATTGTTCTACTGGCGTCTTATTCCCTTATTGTTCTACTGGTCTCGTATTCCCTTATTGTTCTACTGGTCTCTTATTCCCTTATTGTTCTACTGGACTCTTATTCCCTTATTGTTCTACTGGCCTCTTATTCCCTTATTGTTCTACTGGCGTCTTATTCCCTTATTGTTCTACTGGTCTCGTATTCCCTTATTGTTCTACTGGTCTCTTATTCCCTTATTGTTCTACTGGCGTCTTATTCCCTTATTGTTCTACTGGTCTCGTATTCCCTTATTGTTCTACTGGTCTCTTATTCCCTTATTGTTCTACTGGTCTCTTATTCCCTTATTGTTCTACTGGCCTCTTATTCCCTTATTGTTCTACTGGCGTCTTATTCCCTTATTGTTCTACTGGTCTCGTATTCCCTTATTGTTCTACTGGTCTCTTATTCCCTTATTGTTCTACTGGACTCTTATTCCCTTATTGTTCTACTGGCCTCTTATTCCCTTATTGTTCTACTGGCGTCTTATTCCCTTATTGTTCTACTGGTCTCGTATTCCCTTATTGTTCTACTGGTCTCTTATTCCCTTATTGTTCTACTGGTCTCTTATTCCCTTATTGTTCTACTGGTCTCTTATTCCCTTATTGTTCTACTGGCCTCTTATTCCCTTATTGTTCTACTGGCCTCTTATTCCCTTATTGTTCTACTGGTCTCTTATTCCCTTATTGTTCTACTGGTCTCTTATTCCCTTATTGTTCTACTGGCCTCTTATTCCCTTATTGTTCTACTGGCCTCTTATTCCCATATTCTTCTACTGGCCTCTTATTCCATTATTCCTCTACTGGCCTCTTTTTCTTTTGAACCCCTCCTCCTTTTCTCTCTTCCTCTTCTTTAATACTCTATCTGAAGCTCTCTGTGATTGCAAGTCATTTCCAATTCGTTTTGGTATTGATCTTCCAGTAGAAATCAGTTTGGTAATTAGCTCCAAATTAGGCTCTCTTCTGGAGGTGAGTCCTGTCCTACTGATTTATTACCTACGTAATTCACCGCGATCGGAGAGAAATTAAAATGAACTCAATTAGGCCCATTGCTTTAGCTTCTTTTATGGGTCCCTCCTTAAATACTTGTAGTTTTATACGGGGACAAATGAATAGTCTCTTGTTGTTTAATAGTCTAATGAAAGTAAATAAAGGTTATCCATTGTAATAAGCCTACGAGAGGTTTTAATAAGAATACATGTAGTATGTAAACATATAAGGGTCTAGTTATTGTGGTTTTGGGTAGGGGGTGGTTACAGATGGGGTCTTCATTTGGTAAATGAGGATGGATAGGTGGTGAGTGTTTGTGGTGTTGACATCAAAAGGAATAAACATTGAAAATCCTGTATATACACCCAGGTGTGTGAAAACACCTCAAGAAAACAAATCAAGAAAGCCCCTTGCTATGTTTACAATTTATAAAAACATTTCTGTGATAAATCTGACAGCCCGAAAGCTGCTTCATACACTGTTTCAATAAAAACATTATTGAAGAATGACACAGAACTATAACAGAAACACAGAGTCAAATAACACAGCAGCAAAAAAAATAGAGAAAAATAGAGGTATTGATTAATTGCATGTTGCCTTTCTGTTATTCTCAATTATAAGGGATCCAGAGAATGTGGTGTTTTTTCATCCCAAGATCAATACGACGTGGGAGTTTTCCCTGAGATCCCTACAGCATTTTACATGCTGTTTTCTAAAACACTGGAATGACTGTTTTAACAGCCTAGACTTTTGTGGCCATTTTATTTTTGAGAGCTGCGTGGAGCAGATATGTATTGCTCAGATTGCTGTGTGCTACTTCGGAGGCCTCTGGGCCAACTAAATAAAATAGCAGAATCTCTCAGCACAAAAAAGTAAATAACAATCTGTTGAGTTTCAGGGAAATCTACGTTAGGAGAAGCAAAAAATACACTAAAAATAAACAAACAGAAAAAACAACAACAACAACAATATCATGGTTGTACAGCTCGCGGCGATGGAACTTGGATGGAATGGAAGTGGTGAGGTGGGTGTAATACAGGTGTATTTGATAGTGTTAATGGTAACAAACAACAAGACGTTGCTAACCTGTTCTGGTTTGATGTGCTCCGAGGTTGGGAAGACGTCAGGGTACGAGGGGCGTTCAAAGACCCGGTCCAAAGCTTCCAGCTGCTGCTGAGTGAAAGCATCGGCCCGCAGGTGCTTCCGTAAACTGTCCACACTACCCTGAGAATCAGTGTTTGGGCCAGACCCATCTGAACCATCTACAAGAAGAGAGAGCAACAACACTAGAGTCTAATCACTGAAGCCCCTGTAAGGTAGGAAGCTGGCTGACTGAAGCCCCTGTAAGGTAGGAAGCTGGCTGTCTGAAGCCCCTGTAAGGTAGGAAGCTGGCTGTCTGAAGCCCCTGTAAGGTAGGAAGCTGGCTGACTGAAGCCCCTGTAAGGTAGGAAGCTGGCTGTCTGAAGCCCCTGTAAGGTAGGAAGCTGGCTGACTGAAGCCCCTGTAAGGTATGAAGCTGGCTGTCTGAAGTCCCTGTAAGGTAGGAAGCTGGCTGTCACTGAAAACCCTGTAAGGTAGGAAGCTGGCTGACTGAAGCCCCTGTAAGGTAGGAAGCTGGCTGTCTGAAGCCCCTGTAAGGTAGGAAGCTGGCTGTCACTGAAGCCCCTGTAAGGTAGGAAGCTGGTGTTTATTTTGTTACTGTGTGTTAATGGTAGCTTTGGATAAGAGTACTCAGTGCTTGAGTTGGTCTTGTGCTCAAATTTTCCATCACCTCTTATAGAACATTGGCTCTAAAATATTATGAGTACCAGCACATCCATGTAAGCATTTCACTGTACCGTTTACACCCATGTACACCCGCTGTATCCTGTATCGTTTACACCCGTGTACACCCGCTGTATCCTGCATCGTTTACACCCGTGTACACCCGCTGTATCCTGTACCGTTTACACCCATGTACACCCGCTGTATCCTGTACCGTTTACACCCGTGTACACCCGCTGTATCCTGCATCGTTTACACCCGTGTACACCCGCTGTATCCTGTATCGTTTACACCCGTGTACACCCGCTGTATCCTGTATCGTTTACACCCGTGTACACCCGCTGTATATTGTGTACCTGATTAATAAACGTTGATTTTGATTTCACCCAAAATGAGTCCCAGCACCTATTTCAGTCCACTTCAAGCACTGGGAGTACTACTGATATATTGAATTATACAGTGCAAATTCAGTCAGGGTAGATTTTAAACGGGTCATATTAATGCTGCTTGTGGTGAGCCACTGAGTGCAGTGTTGCTTCACAGACAGACAGACAGACAGACAGACAGACCCAGTAGAGGAAACTACTACTACCACACACAGTATTAGCAAGCATCATGATGTGAAAGCCCCTGTGGTAATTGATGGATTACCATCAGTGCAAATATATACTTGTTGTAGTGGTGGAGCCCATGTATTTTAATGTACTCTGCAGCTACAGTACCCAAGTGGCTTTTCATTCCATGTTCATTCCAGGCTCCAGGGGTTTCCCTCCTTCTACTCTCCTTCTCAATTTCCCTTTTCAACAATTTAATACTGCTTTCATTTTCAGTCGAGTGGCAGAGTAGCAGTGTTTCATTTGGGTAGCTAACACCGTTGTGACCACAGACAGACACGACAGACAGAGAAAGAGAGAGAGTAAGAGAGAGAGAGAGAGAGAGAGAGAGAGAGATGCTGTGAATGAATAAAACGGTACAGTCTAGTTCAATCATCTCCTAGTCCCAGGATGCCGTTCTCCAAACAGAGGGAGAGGGATGCCTTAGCTTTTCCCTTTGGCGCTTCCCTGTGATGCTATAAAGACCCACTTTTAAAGACCTCCAGACCCCCCCCCCCCCCCCCCCTTCCCTTCCCATTCCCATCCCAGGCTGCAGTGGCTCTGGCTACTGCCTCCCAGCCTCCAGCCTCCTCCTCCGTGGATCTCTAGAAAGGGCTTCAGCTCCTTTACAAATCTGTCATTCTAAATTTGTGGCAGATTATGTTCTCTGGCTGGTCCTGGTGGGAGCGGCAGAGATATATGATATGCAAGGAGGGCCCCTATTGATTGCCTGCCTGATCTGGTGGCAAGAGGGAGGCTGAAATGAACTTGAAATGAACATCATGCCTCAACTCAATGTGCGTATAATACTCTACTTAATCCCACATTTTTCTCTGCCAAGGAATTCAATTGATCAATCATGTCTCTCCTGATGGTACCATTTGGAAGGGTTATTGCCATTCCATTCTGCCGCTTGACCTTTTCTCACCGGGGCCAGAGGATGAACCTGCACTCCCAAGAAGAGCAAAAACGTATCAAGGGGCTATATAAGAGACCCTGGGGGAGTTGGGTGTGTGTGTGTGTGTGTGTGTGTGTGTGGGTGAATAGGTAACTGCCATGTGCTGCCCAACATACTACAATAATTCTATATCCTCAAACAAATGATTTTAATAACTATTAATTCTACAACACATTACAATAGCTTTTTATGTGAAAAAATACCTATTGTGGTATATGTACTACATTCTACAAATATGTAAAATCTTGCTATTTTCATAGCGTGATCGGTTGTGATCTGTTGCAATATGCAATCACAGGAGAACATAAATCACTTATACTCTACACTGCTCAGCTATTTTCATCTGATTTTCAGTATAGATAAATCTAATCGCATCTTTGATCTGGCATTATTTCTGGACAGCTCCACTGGGGGCCTCAGTCTCTCATAGCTCCGCTGAACGGTTGTCGCTTTATCAACCTCAACTGTTCCCTTCGGTCCTCGGAAGCAAATAGACTCATTAATTACTTTCCATCAGCTAGCCCAGAGTACATACCATGATCAATATCTGCACATTAGTCATTCACCACAGAGGAATACACTTCCCATACACATGACAAACTATCCCCAGGTCAACCAACAGTACACAAGCTCTTGTTCCCACTCAAACCATCCCCAGGTCAACCTACAGTACATCGGCTCTTGTTCCCACTCAAGTTAAGGTGAAAGATCCATTTAAACATTTAAAACACCCCACCTAAATATTGCCTACTTGTATTATAAATAATCCCGTAGGACTACCGTAAAAGCACCTCACTCTAATGCCCAGTACATCTGTGGATGTGACTCAGATTGCACCTTATTCCCTATATAATGCATTCCTTTTTGACCAGAGCCCTGTGGCTTGACTGTCTCACCCATGTCTGGTGGAGTAGGTTGTTCTGGGTGGTGGTAGGGAGACCTTCAGTCTAGCCTGGCTAAACCAGACTGAATACTAAACTCAATGGTGAGCTCAAAGGTGAGCTCAGCATTCAGTCTAGTTTTTACCAGGCTATTTAACTAGAGGTCTTCTGTTTCATCCTGAAGACATTTAGAAGTTAATTCAACCAACCCAATTACATTTTTGTGCATATCATAGCCACCCAGCAATGTAATATGACACGTATACCAAATTTCATATTTTTAGTATACAGTATACAGTGCCAAATAACATTTGCTATAAGATATATTGTACATGTTTTTGGGGGCATGTTTCCCATCCCATTTTAGCTATTAATTATGTCATAGCATTAGCCGGTAACTTTGTTTACATGTTAGTCATTTAGCAGTCGCTCTTATCCAGTGCATACATTTTCGTACCGGTCCCCCGTGGGAATCAAACTCACAATCCTGGCGTTGCAAGCACCATGCTCTAGCAACTGAGCTCTGTTTTGTCACATTCTCCCCAGTCACTCCTCCCCAGTCACTCCTCCCCAGTCACTCCTCCCCAGTCACTCCTCCCCAGTCACTCCTCCCCAGTCACTCCTCCCCAGTCACTCCTCCCCAGTCACTCCTCCCCAGTCACTCCTCCCCAGTGATGCTAATAAGTTATGTTGTTATGTCATAGTAGACAATGTCTTTGTTTGTTGGTGAGTCTCCTTATCCTCCCCAGTCACTCCCCCCCAGTCACTCCTCCCCCAGTGATGGTGTCTGTGTTATTGATCAGTGAGTGACAGGGTTGAGTGTATTCATCTTGACGTGGCTGGGTATTAACACTCCGGTAACGAGGGAGCAGAGGACTCCAGACCCTATCAGATCACATCACTAGCTCTATAAAACAGACTCCTCTCCGCGGGCTCGCCACCCCCAGGTCATGACCCCTAGCAGGGGGTTGAGCCGATGTAATTCTGTCTCTGCCTGGAGTCAGAGAGAGAGACCATCTGACTGACTACACTGACTACCTGTCTGCCAAACACAACAGAGTAAAAACACTAGAAACGTTGGCTTTTGAGAAGGAAGCTAATGTCGTCTGGCTATGACTGTCATTATACAATTGGCTTGAATGCGTCGTAAAGAATTGACCAAAGCAATGGCGTCAAAATATAAGCTCGTAATTGGTGTAGTATCTTATTCATGGTAAAATTCAAGCTGTGTTCAGTCTGCGTTTAGCCCTGAGTGGAGGCACAGGAAGGTGAAACGGCACCTTAGGGTCGTGAAAGCCCCTCTTGCCTGAACAGGCTTTCTGTCTATCTGTTGTTTCATGTTTGAACAACATTTCAATACGTTAGCTAGTGATTCCCTTTACCAAGTATTGCATTAGCATTCTGTTTGTTTTTGTAATATCACTCCCTCATCTACAACTAGCTTCAATTTATACCCTGAATTAAATCAAATTAACACTAATTTCAAATTAAATTGTAAACGTTGACACATACATTTTTCGATTGAACGTTTTGGTTAATGTCATGTTAACCAAATCAAATATTACAACATTTAGTGCACATATGCTCCGCATAGCCTCTCTTTAATATGCTGTATCCTCTTAAGGATCTGACACTTTTTTTCAATTTTTGCCTAAAATTACATACCCAAATCTAATTGCCTGTAGCTCAGGACCTGAAGCAAGGATATGCATATTCTTGATACCATTTGAAAGGAAACACTTTGAAGTTTGTGGAAATGTGAAATTAATGTAGGAGAATATAACATATTAGATCTGGTAAAAGATAATACAAAATAAAAAAACATGTTTTCTATTATCTTTTTGTTACATCATCTTTGAAATGCAACGAAAGGCCACAATATAATATTGCAGTTTAGGCACAATTTAGAGTTTGGACACTAGATGGCAGCAGTGTGTGTGCAAAGTTTCAGATTGATCCAGTGAAGCATTGCAATACTGGACTATTTTGTATCAAGTCTGCCCAAATATGCCAAATTGGTCAATTGATACATTTTCAAGTACATAACTATAGAGAAGATACAAAATGATATGGTAATACAAAATGTACGTTTACACACTCCCAGGAATGTCATAAATTACATTAGCTTATACACTAACTTTCACAAATCTAGATGGCCGGGCGGGGTGGGGGTGGAGCCAGAGACAGCAGGGGTTCAAACTGTAAAACCCAGTTCCTACATTTGAATATATAAATGGATTTTATCAAACAAAACTATGCTATATTTAATCTCTGGGACCTTTAGGATGACAAATCAGAGCAAGATTCCTGAATGTAAGTACATAATTTAAATTCAGAGGTGAATGTATCAAACCAGTTGCCGTGATACGTTTTTTGTTGTTGTGCATTCTCCTCAAACAATAGCATGGTATCTTTTCACTGTAATAGCTACTGTAAATTGGACCGTGTAGTTAGATTAACAAGAATTT